GGGCATTGCTCTGGAAGTTTGTCTTTCTTTATAAATTTTTTTCTATCTAATCTACTACTCTTTTATAGGAATGATTTTCTAACATTAGGGTCATATAATATTTCATAGCAGGGCAATAAATATTTCCTGTTAATTATGGTGGATCAAATTTCTGCTCAGAAGATAGATAAAACATCTGGCTGGAAAGTTGGCACACCTATTTCTGATCTCCTGGATTGAGGAAGTTGAATAAATACCCCAGAAAACAGGGTTATATGTGGGGTTGCAGCACAGGTTGAAGTGAAAAGTCAGCAGAGACTCAATATCCTGAATTATAAATCAAGCTGGCTAAAAACCAGGCTGAAAAACCTATTCCCTTAAATGTTATATTGCCCACTGCTTTGCTTTTTAGAGCAGATGGAGGTGAGGAAAATACAGGTTTTATAGCACTTGCAACTACATAAAACAACCAAACTTGTACCAATACTTTCAAGTAAATCGAGAGTTTTTGTTTATCTTTTTCAAGCAATAGTAGATTAATGGTTCAAATGGTGCTTGTAAACTTCGGAACATAAATTAGTTGATGCCAATAGCCAGTAAGGCACTTTGTATTGGAGCACACAGCTGTACAGGCTAGGAAAGTGACATAACTTGAAATGCAGTCAAGAGACATTTACATATTCTTTAACCATATATATACTGAAAAGGACATTTGCAGGTTTTCTTCCTTGGAAACTCTTAACATTGTTTTGAAAAATCTGTTTACTCACCTAGAACAAAATTTTCAACATTAAAACATTTCATACCTCTTTTTTAAAACAAGAAAAATAAAACAACAGCCAACATTTTAATATTCTTCCACTCCAAAACATCCAAGCCACAGGAATTAAAGAGAGAAATCAAGAGAGAGAAAGAGAGAGAAGGGGAAAAAATAAATCTCTCATGTTTCCTCTGTCCCTGGAATTTGAAAGATTGGGGTCACGACAAACTCGGATGATTTCACAGGTACAATAGCTTTGGTATAAAACTTGCACAAGTAAAAGCTGACAACGTATTGCAGAAACAATGCACCAGACCCATCGCAAAATGGTGTGGTCAGGACACTCGACCTTCTCTAATGTCTCTTGCTTTGTATGTTATGCTTGTTGAGTATCTTCAGCAGAGATTTACTCATGTAATAAGGTCTTTTGGTAGAACCGTCCTGACTTTCTAAATCTCTCACTAGGAGGAAGAAAGGCAGAGAGCAAAAAATGAAACCAATCCAATACTTCCATCTGCTGGCTGTTTTGTGCACAACAGCAAATGCCTGGCAATATATATATCTATACACATGGTATGTATACTACATATGGGATGTTTTGGCATTTATTACACTGTAAACACTGGCGCAATAATATAATCAGCCCTTTAGAATCAGATGGGCTAGATGCTGCACCAGTTCCATCAAGAAGGCCTTTGCCTTGCTCTTGATTCGAAGGAATGCAGGATCCAAGCCTATTTCAACGTTATCATCTCATCAAGAAATGATTTCTCTAGTATATTATGACTTCTCTAAAGCAAGGAAGTGCATTTGATCAAGCTTTAGCTTTATGTTAAAGCACTATATGCATAAAATGGAGACTACAACAAACCGGCAGGGTTTGTCCTAAGGATTAAGAAACACATCAGTCAAAGTTCAAAGCTATTTGCCTTTCAAAAATAAATTATTACTTAGTTTGCACATTAATGCTCATTCGTTTCTGAGAAAGATATTCAGGAATTTTGCCTATCAGATGTACACTTTGCCATTATTGAACATTTCAAATGGCTGAATGGCAGCCAAATTTCAGTGCTATTGCTTAGCATTTTCACATTTATTTCAGTTGCTTAGTTAACAGAACGACTCTAGACTGTTCCCCTTAAGGGCCTTTCTCCATTATATTTCTCACTGAGTTTACTTGCTCATGTACAACCTACCAGCTGTGCTCACTCATATTAAATCACATGGTTTTAACCATGGTTTGTTAAATAAAAACCAGGCCAGAATAAAGATTGCATGTGAAAAAAAAGGCAATCTTATGACTTCTTTGGCAATTTCTTATTTGCTTTTCCTCCTTTATGTGTTAAGTTCTTTGGATTGATTGCTAAGCCTCTGTTTTAATCAGTATGATAACAACAAACATTTTCCGATGTCACTCTTGTTCTAATAATCATTAGAGTCAGTTCTAATTACTTAGAAACTATCCAGTGTTATAGCTAAGAATTCCTAAAGACACCTAATGATATCTAATGGTTGCATTGTGACTTAAAAGTGAAAACTTGCTATTTTTCAAATGGATATCAATTTATCTCGGTTGAGAACATTTAAGACTAATCCTAAGGTTTAATATTCAAGGACATACTTAGCAATGACTGATTTTGCTTACTAGATACCCCAAGATATTAACACTGTGTGGATAACATGCTAGCTGGGTTCATTATAGAGCCATAATCTAAGGTCTGAGCAGGCATTACAAAGGAAAAAGCTGTTATTTTGATGATGACTTATATAGGATTCAATCAGAAACTTGTTCTTGGGTTATTCATGGATAAAAGTTGCCTTCTAGAGACATTCCCAGTGATGTCTGCTAACACTCGACTGCTCAGTGATTGCTGTAGTTAAGAGGCTCTGTTCATCTTTTGATTTGCATATTTGCAGGTAGGGAAACTAATTTTCTCTCATTTTTTGGTAGCACAGAAGGGAAGGAAATGAAAGGATCATTCCATTGGGGTAGGCAGACTCCTTTGAAGGCTCCAGCTGAGAGAGGGGCAAATGATTCTAACCAGGTTCTAGTTTTTCCTGCATCTCTCCTGTTGTCCCAGAGTACCTTCTAGAACAGTTTTTGCTGAAGTAGGTAGATTTAACAAAATATTCCCTCCTCCAGTAAAGCTAACTGAGTGCAACTCTGGATGAATTACACTTGTCTGGAGAAAAAAAAAATTACATCTACTCACTGAAATGGACATTCAGCTGAGTGCATATATATATAATTTATTCCAGACTGATAGCCCTCACAGGTGTTTTGGAATACAAATGATGTAAGCACCTTTCTAAAAAAACATTCTTATCTGGAAATAAGTTGCTTCTTTTAACAGAAGGGGCTTCCAGGAAAACCTTCTTCTTTGCAACAGAAGAGTTAAAAATGCTGAAACACCCCCACCCCCACCACCTAAGATTCTATATTAGTCCAATTAATATTGGTTGATTTCCCCAATTATCTTAAAACCAAGTCCAGCTTAATATAGAACTAGGGAGTTTGGTTGAATGAATTTTGGAGAATCCAGTTTTATAATGGTAAGCTTGGCTTTTGTGCAATAAGTAAGAGAAAAAGTAGAATCACCAATGCAAATTCTTAGACACAAAAAGCTTCAATCAGAAACAGAGGCCAATCACCCCTGTGTTAATGACAGGATAATATCATGAGGGGATAATGGAATTCATGATTACATATTTTTTTTAATACAATGTGTCCTATTAATTTCAAAAGCCTCTCCTGATCCAGGAAAAACAGCCTAACTAAGGCTACCCATTGTTTTAATGTTTAACCGAAATAAAAGTTCATGTGAGACAACTCGTAAATAAGCAGCATGACTGTGAAGAAACCCTACTTAGAATATGTTGTCTCCCCAGCTTTTACTAACATACAATGGGATTAATGATGTAATTGTATTTTTAATTCCAGTTCTGAGTAAGAAAGCTGCATTTTTCTTCGCAGGAATGTCTTCTATTTTATGATGCAGAATACTAATTTTTGATATTTACTCACTAGGCCTTTTTCCATGAGACTCAAGGCCAGTTTTTACTTCAACTATAAGGAATATTCATTCATATTACATCTCTCTCATTTCTTTCCTCTCTGACTGAAAAATGATCACATGTTCATATAAGTAAGAGGGACCTAAAAGGTAAAGAATCCTTAATTCTTTCTCTTTGTCAAGCAGCAGAAGGAAGAGAAAAAGCAAATGACTTGAGTTTCAGGTCAGATCAACCTTCTCTAACCTGATGTTTTCCAAAGATACACTGAACAAAGGTTGAACTTGTGGGGAGGACTGGAACAGAAGTTCCAGCAAAACTCCAGAAGACCAGGTTAGAGAACACCAAGCTTGTCTAACAAGGAGTTCTTCCATAGGGGAAAAAAAAACTAATATTGGATTTTATTTTATGGCAATTTTTTCTAGAAAAAAAAGTTTACATAACACATATAAAATCATGGCACTCTTAACCAGTAATACTAATAATATTTTGCAACTGCATCTGGTGGAAAACAGAAGCTATTGCATGACTTACATTAAAAAAAAGGAATAGAAATTGGCATAACGTTCTTTTTTTTAAAAAAAATTGAAAATATTTTAAGAAACTTTACCCTACGTTCTGTCTGTCTTTTTTTTTTTTTAGATAAATCAGCAGGATCCCAATTTATCTCCATCTCAACTTTTAGGAGGCAACTGAATTAGCAATATGCCCTTCTTCACAGGGAACCATTAGTATATTTTAGTCACAGTTTAAGTAGCTGTCAATCAGCATGTGCAGTAAAAATACAGCCATAGCACCATCATTACAAATTTAGGACCACCTGCTGGTTAGCAATAATCTTGATATGTTTATGGCTAATTAGGATACATTGTAGTGCTTTGAAAAATTGCCTGAATATCCTTTACAAATATACACCTATAAAAAAAGTTATCAAAATGGCTGTCATTTTAGACAGCAAAATCTCAAGTTAGAAAAGTTATTAAAACACTAAGAGCTAAAGGTTAAAAAAAAGAAGCCTCACATTTACACGTTTTCCATAGGCACTCTATAAAAACTATGAAGTGATCTTATTTCACAGCGGTTAAAAGACATCTTGAAAATGTTGCCCATTTGCTTATTTTTAGATAGTACAAAGCAACACAAATGATTTATTAACCAGAAGCGTCATACTTAAGAAAATCTTTTGTCTAAATTATATCCATCCTCCTTTTAAATTGTTTATTTTTTTTCTCCTCTTCCTTAAAACTAACACTGTTGCAATTTTGAGTATCATCCCATTAACTTTTTGGGACTCAGTTCCTTCTTCCCCAAAATCCGGTGCAGACTAGCTGACATGTAGTAAGGTTTTGCTGTAGATCCATCATTCCTTTCCAAGTCTTCACCTGGGTAGAGAGTGATCAGAAAGAGCCAAAGCAAAGAGCAGACATGCAGTCAAACCAAAACAAACGAGAGATTCAGAAGAAAGAGAGGAAAAGAATAATTAGAATTCCTGTAATGGTAGAGTTGCATTTCAGTGTGATGCTATTGCAGACTATCACAAAGGCATTCATATACACAATTTCAGATCAATACCACCTAGGTCATAACTAAGCTGCATTAAGCCATGCTGTGATCTATATTTTTTGCCCATGCAACAGGTTAATTTGAAGTTAAATAATTAACTTATGCTTGGTGATGAAGCACAGAACATACCAATGCTGTATTCCACAGTAGTCTTGGGCAGGGGTGGTTGGGGGGGGGGAAGAGCGTAATAATAAGTCAACTGCAATTATAAGATGACATGTTGACAGTTGAATGATTCTTTTGGAATAAAATAGATTCTGGTGACATGGAAAACTAGAAGACTAGGACTACAGTTCCCATACAACAATAAGTCACATAAAGGTCAAGTTTGCAAGTGGTTGATTCACAACCAAAAGATGGAGAGAGACAAAGATGGGAACATAATTATTTATTGCACACTGGATCATTTTTCTAGATTTCTGTCTTTAGTGCTTTCTCAATAGCAAGTGGGATTTCCACGATTAGGATGCTCAAAGACATTTTTCATCTTTATAATTGCATAAGGATGGCTAAACCTATTTGCATACAGAGCACAGTGGGAGCAGTGACTATTTCATGCTCCCTTGTAAAATATATTCCAGCTCTTTTAAAGTCAACCTAGTTGGAGAAGAGGAAACATGTTACTTTAAATTCAACCAACACAGCTGTCATGATTAAAACAGCAAGGATGTTATTAGCAAGAACACATAACACTCATCTACTGCAATGCTGCTGGACAAAATGAAGCTATAAAATAGTAGTTAGTAATTATTATGGAGCAGTTTCTCAAAAAAGCCATGATGGTAATTAGCAATAGTAAGAGTTCACTAGCTGACTAATGAAATCACATCTGACATGTGATTGCCCATGCAATAAAAATTTCAGTTGAGTAAACTGTGCAAGAGAAGCAAGAAACAGATCCCTCCAACATATTCATGAATTCTGTTAAGGAAGTTGAATTACCAGTCCTTTATCTGAGCATAACTGAAAGAGGAAATAAATCACAAAAGGCTGATGACTTACAAAAACAGAGGAAAAGTGTGTCAACACACATTGCATAGACACTGAAGAATCCATGTGCAACCAGATAAGACCCTATAATGACAGTCTGGAAAAGAAGAAAACTATGTTAAATTTACATTATCAGGATAGTTTTTCTAAAGATAACCCTGACTCTGAAGTTGGAAAGTAATAGTGATTCCCCAGTCCCCCCCCCCAACAGATTTTCTAGAACTGGTGCAGTGGACAAGGCTATTAATAGCAAAGTACAATGTTATTAATAGCTTTCTGAATGGGAAACAGTAGTTTCAGGTTACATCTTCCTTTAATGTTACACTAACCCACTGCAACTATGCTGGCAATCCATTGCTTCTTCTCTCTTGCCAAACCTTTCTTTAAAGACACAGTACATAGTTGGGGGCTTCCTTTCTTTTTAAAAAATCCAAAGAGGAGTGCAGAAGAGCAAGGCAGATAGAGGAAAGCAAACAACCACCTCCATATGTTTTGGGTTCCAACGTCCATCAACCCTACCCAATATGAAAGTCACAAGTAAATCTCTAAGATGTAATCTAAACTATCTGGAGAAGACCATGTTACCTGCTTAAAATATGAATTGGGATCCAAGTATCAATCTGAAGTCAAATATAATCCCCCCTCCCCCGTGCCTGCAATTCTTATTGTCAGAATGTGAATCAGAGCTATCCCGTGGAGACTGAGATAGTACTGCAGCTACAGACACTTTCCCCAGAGTGTATCTGAGCAGCAGTGAGCAAAGATTTTTAAATAAATCAGAATCAAAACAAATCAAGGTGTGGGATTGCTTGTTTTGTTGGGGGTGGGGTGGGTGAAGAGGCAAGATCCCCATTGAGAATCCATCCCGTGATCTTTCCATGCCAAAAGCCAACCTCATGCTTGGACCTTTAATTCTTCATTTGAACTTACCAAGAGGGGGACCCAATAATAATTCAGTGAAGGTGCTTCTTGTGCAAATACTGGTATCCTGTGTGTGAAGAAAAAGAAGGCCAGGACACCTGCAGGAAAAAACACATACACACAGTATTAGCTACAATGTGGCTTAGTTGAGATTTCAAAGCTCTTATCTCTCATGTTTTGAAACAAACAATATAGTTTGCAATAGATAATTCCATGTCTGGGAATATACACAAATGTATGAATGATTTATTTATAAAAGAGCCATAATGTGGCAGTTGTTAGGATGCAGTATTGCAAACTAATTCTGCTGATTGCCAGCAGTTTGAATCTCACCAGCTCAAGGTTGACTCAGCCTTCCATCCTTCCCAGACCTGTAAAATGAGGACCCAGATTGTTGGGGACAATAGGCTGACTCAGTAAACCGCTTAGAGAAGGCTGTAAAGCACTGTGAAGCAGTATATAAGTCTAAGTGCTACTGCTATTCAACTATTTACCTCCAAGCCATTTAGGCATCTCCATTTAAACATACATGCATTTTCAGAAACAGGGCCCTTGAGAGTTTTGTAACATAATTTTCCAAACAATAAATCCTTACATTAATTATTCTTGGTATTTGTAATGGTCTAAAAATTGACATTCCAATTAATTATCTGTGAATAATTCATGCAACCAGAAGATTTTAATCTATTTTATCACTCCTTCAGTCTCTTTTAATAACATGTGCAGTTAGCAAAACAGAACAGAAACCCAAACTTGATTTTAAAAAAGCTTATCTAGTTTATTTCTTGGAGAATCATTTAACTATTTGCCATTAATCTTATTCGGTGTGTTTGGTGATAAATTGAGATACTAATTTAGAATAACATCTATGCTAAGCAGGAAGGAGAAAGTATATAAATTAATTAGCCCCAGAAATTTATTCTTAAGCACAAGGAAAGGATGAAGCAATTTCACTGTTAAATGCTTTCATTTCAGACAAATCTCATTTTTTTCCAGTTATAAAATAGTGTGCATAATATACATTATGCCCTTTCTTTTAATTCAGAACACTTATCTTTCGATCTGCTCTTGGAGAATATTATTACAGGTAGTCCTCGAATTATGACCACAGCTGAGCCCAAAATTTATGTTGCTAAAAGTGACAGTTGTTAACGTGAATTTTGTCCCATGTTGCAACCTTTCTTGCTACAATTTTTAAATGAACCATTGCAATTGTTAAGTTAGTAACACGGTTGTTAAGTGAATCTGGCTTCCCTATTGACTTTGCTTGTCAGAAAGTCACAAAAGGTGATCACATGACCCCGGGACAGTGCGACCGTCATAAATATGAGTCAGTTGCCAAGTATCTTAATTTTGATCACATAACAATGGTTGTTAAGTATGAAAAATGATCGTAAGTCACTTTTTTCAGTGCCATTGTAACTTTGAACGGTTACCAAACAAACGGTTATAAGTCGAGGACTACATGTGTTAGTCCTTTGCCATGCCTAGCTAATATCAGCCTCATTCCGTGTGAAAACCTCTGCAAGGATGGTCCACCCTATCCTTGCACAATTGGGGTCAATTGTGGGCATAAGCAGTGGTGGGATTCAAATATGTGAACAACCGGTTCTCTGTGTGGATGCTGCTTCTGGAAGTCCATTCTGGGCCTGCACAACAAAAAATTAGCTACCGGTTCTGCCGAAGTGCTGCGAACCGGCTGAATCCCACCACTGGTCGTAAGATGAACACTACCTGCCCAGGGGCTTTATGTCAACAGTCAGCTCAACACGATCCAATGGCCTTAACAAAACTGAAAATAATGAATGAGAGTTAATTGATTAGAACTAATGTTGTAGTAATATATTAATCAGTGTTCAAGTAGAGGGGATAATACATGTATAATGTCTTCTTTTTTTAATGCACCTTTTAAATGTTTTGATTATTTTGTGTCTTTTTTCCTTTTGTCCTTTTGAATTTTTTTTAGTTCTATATTTTGTATTTTAACTTTGTTTTGAAATATATGTGTGTGTGTGAGAGAGAGAGAGAGAGAGAGAGAGAGAGAGAGAAAGAGAGAGAGAGAGAGAGAGAGAGAGAGAGAGAGAGAGAGAGAGAGAGAGAGAGAGAGAGAATTAATTGACTCACCCACAGCTCCAGCAACGAGAATTTTACCCAGAAATAATAAGAAGTCTGTTACTTTATCCAGGACTGCAACCCTGTGCAAAAGAAAAGAAAACTGATATTAAGTTGTTTTTCACTCCAAAGGCAGTATGAATCTGTTTCTAGCTGCTATACTAAGGTTACTTTGATAACTACATAACCTACTATTTCTATGTACCCAAAGGATCTCATTTTAGAGAAAGATTTAAAACCGATATTAATTTCCTCAGAAAAGCAAATATTAGTATTTTAAATTATTGGGGGGGGGGAAGCAGATATTCCTTTATTTGCCGACGGGCCAGTTATCTAAAAATTAATGTCCAAATTAACATGCTATACAAGCATTCTAATGAAAGTATTGATAATTTTATTGAGAAACAGTTTGTGTTTCAGATGAGAAAGCATGTTTTTAATATGTTGATTAGGGATTTAAGGTAAGCTTTAGCATTATATTTTGTAACTTTATAAAGGAGCAAATTCACTGTTATGGAAACACAGCAAATTAACAATGACCGGCAGCAGGAGCTCAAGAGTAATTTGGCTTTGATGTGACGCATCCAGGTTAAAATATATGCACACCATTAATGCTTAGGAAAAGGACTAGGAGAGAGCCCAGTTTCCCCAAATTCTGGGAAATCCATGGAAGAAAAGGGTGATATATTTTCACCAGGCTGCATGTGATGAAGAGTCCAGATCATAACCGGTTTGCTTGGATCCAACTTTCTTTCTAGTGTCATCTCAGCCAGCAACAATTTTCCATGAGGTCAGGGTAGAACTTAAGTACTTTAAGTATCTCTTCAGATGAACCTATGATGGGATTATACCAGGCCAGGTGTGTCCAACCTTTTGGTTTGCCTGGGCCACACTGAGTGAAAAGGAATTGTCTTGGGCCACATATGAGATATATAAAAATAGGTAGTCTGTCTGTCTGTCTGTCTGTCTGT